CATAAAACCTGTACATAGGGGGTACTGTTTTACACGTGAGACATCGCTGAATACAAATATGTGTATTTTATTGCAGTAAAAGCAAACAGTATTATGACATTCACAGTTAAAATGTCACATAGAACTACATTTCTTTTTCAAAATTCTTATTTTCTCACATTATTTTATATTTTATTCATGTTAAATTATGTTTTATACCTAAATAATTGATGTTAAATGAAAGCCCTGTTTCCCCTGAATAAAATTATATATAATAAGTGTGGGTGCACATAATATAAAAGAGGCCAATTACGCCTGAACAGACATAAAGCGCAAATTCAAGTTTTTGTTTATGTTTTGTTTTGATCACAACGTGTACATTTGGCTCAGTCCTTAAGGGGCTAAGCACTAGATTATGACATCGTGCAACAAGGTATATGAGGCCATCATAATTCTTAATTGGGAGACATCCTGAACCACCACAACAAATTTACCTTAATGCCACATATTTGTTTACCCCATATCCACAAAGTCTCATTCCTCAACCTCATTACCATACTCCTTCCCATATTAACTTTCATAATTCAAAAAGTATTTTCATGCATATAATTTAGGTTTCAAAAGTCGAGGATTTACGGTTTACCATATTCTATATTAATAGAGTCTGAAACATGAGTGGAATATGGTTTATATAAGTGTTATGAAACTTGGTATATGTATTTATTTGTTTATTTATCATGTTTGTTTACTACTGTTTGTTTTTACTTGGGAGGCCTAAATATAGTGCAAACAGGAAAGCATATTCACAATTTTAGATAGAAACTTCAAAGCAAATATATAATTAATAATTTTTAAAATAAGATCCAAGTGATTTTTTATGCATTTTTTCTTGAGAGCCCCACAAATATTTAAATACAAGATGGAATCAAAAGACAAGAATCAATGAAGTTATGATGAAGATTACATTTTCCAAAATCAAATTAGAAGTGCAATTGCATGAATACATGTACAGACAACAAGTGCAGTAGACAAAACTGTATAGCTAAATGGGTGGATAGTATAAATCCAAACTTTAAGAAATCAGACAGACACATGCAGTGGATGGGTAGGTGAGGAGATGGTGAGCTCAGTGTTAGTATTGGTAGGAGCAATAATAAGAGAAATCACGTGTAAGTGACCAGGATGGTATACATTTAAAATCTGCTGCTACCTAGTAGCATGTGAATGCAATAATAGGCCACACTCATAACCTTTCTAATATAAATTAATTACAAAATTAAACAAACCAAAATTAATATTGCCTAAGCCCACTATTAGTAGTCACTAATCGAGACACCCGATAAAAGTAAAACAAGAAAGACAAAAATTAATCGCCCATCTGCAGGTAAACTCCATGGTATAGAATTATAGTGCAATCAGGTAAGGAATATGTTACAGAATGTCAGGTTAGGCTGTAGAGACACTGGGCATGGGATTATGCCCTGCCACCACCTCAGAGGAAAACCAAGCTGTGTACTCCAACATAATTTTGAGTCAAAGTTGCAAGGAGAGGTAAGCCAGAATTTGTGTATAATTGAGAAGAGTAGTTGAAATTTTAGAGTAAAAACAGATGAATTGGCTTGATGAGTTTTGGCCATGCCGAACTTACCTTTCTTCTTTTGTTTCCTCTTCTCTTCCTCTCTCGGAATCAGTTCTTCTTTTCTTCATAACTGATCTAGTTTTCTTTAAAACACAAGACAAAGTAGGCCCCCAATTCCCTAGTCTTAACCCCCCCCCCCAATAAAATACAACCCTATTACCACCTCACCCTAAAAATAGTGAGGGGGAGGGTAATAAACAGAAAACCTGTAAATTAAAACAAATTCATACTTATCATTAGGTGTCTTCTTTTTTCTAAAACCTTTTTTCAGCCCCAAAAAAGGTCAAATAAAAAACCCTAAATCCCATCAAATTAATAAAACAAAAGAAAAGGCCAAATTGCACATAAAAAACGCATGTAATGTAATTAACATAACAAATGAATGAAGAGCAAAATTCTGTCTATGTTCAATCGTTTGAAATCTCTAATCATTTATTTGTATTTCTGACAAATAAATGAAAAGCTGAAATTCCTGTCCGAATTTTGGAAAATAGCGAATGCCTAATCTTGCATCACTATCTAGTGTGAGCAGATAGCCTTCATCTGCCCACACAAAGATGGTAATGCCCAGGACCTAGGTTCAGGCATGAAATAAACAGTTTAAAAAATGGTCAAATATGGGGTCCTGGGGCATTTGGGGGTGACTAGTGGGATAATAAAATGTAGTGGAGTTGGGAGGGGGATAAAAAAAACAGATGCCATTACAGTGCCACTTTAACTCTTGTTGGAAAAAAAAAAATCAAGCTTATTTTGTCAATGTAACGCTGTTCTCATAAAAACGCATCTAAAAATTACACAAAATTAAAACTGTTATGCATGAACAGGTAACAATTACTTATTGGAAAGATATTGAAAAACATGACAATGAAACAAAATAGGTCCTTAACGAAAATTCACAAAACTAAATAAAGCCATAAATATAAATAGAGAGTTATAAAAGAAAAGATTGCAATCATAATGAGGGAGAAAGTGCAAAAATGTTTTTATTTGTGGTAGCAGATAAAGCAAAACAAACAATTCACACCATGCAACAATTCATGCATGTGCTCTGTTTGGCATGGTATATATAGACAGTTGCATCTTCAGAGAAGAACTGGAACTCTAATCTCACGGTTACAGAGGCTAGAAGTGACAAAGAAGAAGGGCAGAAGTTGATTACTGTGATTTTACTTCCAAAGTAAAGTTCATTTGGATCATGATAGCTATCTAGAGAGGCAGGTTTATAAATTAATAATTGTCAATGCACTAAATAGCACACAATGCATCATACAAGTTGTATTAATTTTTAGATTTTATTCAAATTTGGAATCATTTATAAAGAAACATAAACCAATAATAGATAAATACTAAGGCTAATTAGTTTGTAATGGAGGGCAGAGCTTAAAGTTATATATTCTCACAGTTCAACCGTCCCAACCCTTACACATGTTCACTTAATGTATTTTTAACAAGGTGAGATCTCATTATAGCTTGGATGTTATGTGTTTTTAAACACCGCCACCCACTTTCACTTCCTCTTACCTTACCCACTTACATACATCCAAAATATTCCTATTTATGAGAAGCATTCCCTATTTTGGGTCCACATCCATATTTCTCTCTTTTAATCCTAATGTCCTTCTTATTCAGGAGCTCAATATTGTTTGTACACCTAAAAGTATAACAGAGCTCCACAGCAATGATACTCTTAGTAATTTATATTACATTACTTTAAATTACAATGTAAATGAGATACTTTGTTCTTGTTCTTAATTCCTTTTTAGTTGCATAACGTTATTAATAAGTCATCTACAAATTTTCAGAACAGACCTACATATAGCCACAAATCCACTCACACCCTTAAAATGAAAGTGTCTGAAATGTTTGAAAGTGGGCACTTACATTCATCTTATTGGCCCTGACTGTAATTTAACTTTACTTGAATAAGGTTATAAAACACACTGTATTGAAACCTTAAAGAGGTACGCTTTGCACCAAAACAACTTCAGTTTACTGAAACAGTTTTAGTGTGTAGTCTATACCCCTACAATATCACTACAATCATCTGCCATTTAGAAATGTAATCACTTTGTTTATACAGCCTTAGTCACACCTCCTGCGTGTGACTTGCACAACATCCTTAACATTTCCTGAAAATTAACCTAAATAATCTATGTCCCTGTATTGTGCAGTCTGCCTTGTATTTCGTACACACTTCTCCCGCCACTCACATACAATTGTAATAAATGGATTCTGTTTGGAAGAGTATTAAGTAAGTGGCTATTATTGGACCAGTTGCAAATATTCAGTGTTCAGTATATTTATTTATAACATATTTGACCAGAAAGGATACATTGAGATTTCTCTCATTTTCAAGTACGTCCTGGGTCCACAAAATATATGTATATACAATATTTAACGTTTGAAATATAGCCATTTTAAACCTCCCGAACAGCGGTGTTTTGCCGTCGAGTGTCTGGAACTAAAATCGGACACTCGAGTAGGCGAACACCGCTGAGACCTCCACAAACCTGGTCCGTTCGGTTCCAAACTACCGAACGGCCCCTCGTTCGGTAGATAGAAAATACCGAACGAGGGGATTCAGGCGAACCCTCCCTAGCCTCTATAGCTAGAGGCTTTCGTGTATTTTGTTCCCTTATGCCAGGACCGACCGCAGGGCCCATTCGCATGGAACCTTATTCGGCTATCTCAGTTAGTGCGGTCGGTCATTTTATTCCCTCCATACATTTCCCGAACCCCTGGTCTGATCTGGGTGATTTTTGGATATGTTGTTCACCCAGATCAGGGGTATCCGGGGATGTAGGATTTAAAGAGGTACCCCTACGTTTAGGGGTACATCCAGAAACGGGGGGAATTACTGTACTGGATAAGGGGATTATGATGCTGGCTGAGGGGAGGAGATGTGTGGGAGGTTACCAGGACAGGATTGGCTACTGTAATAATTACTGTAAATCCCTCCCTTGCATGGGAGCATGCTTTATAAGGAGACTGTGGATTAAAGCTTTGAGTTCTGCTCCTGAAACTGTGTGTCGTCCAGTTATTGGGATTGCTGTTGGGATATTGCTGTATTTTACCTGCTGGAAGCCTTGCCTGTGGATTTACTATTTACTTGTTCCTGAGCCTCACTTGGATTATAAGCGGAGATAACCTGGGTAATATTGCATCTCCGCTACAATAATAATAATAGATTTTTATTTATTTATCAAAAAAAACATATTTAAATATATACTACATAGTGATCATTCCGTTTTTCAATAGGAATATATATATATAGTTCAAGTAGAGATTGTAGCTGTATTAGTCCAGTGATGTAGATGTAAAAAACAGATATAATTCTTATCTTGTAATACCTTTTTTATTGGACTAACAGACTTTTTTAATGACAAGCTTTCGGGAGAACCTCCCTTTCTCAAGTCTGAAGCATTTCTGAATGCTTCAGACTTGAGAAAGGGAGGTTCTCCCGAAAGCTTGTCATTAAAATATTCTGTTAGTCCAATAAAAAAGGTATTACAAGATAAGAATTGTATCTGTTTTTTACATATATATATATATATATATATATATATAAACATTTATTCCCATTTAAGAATGGAATCATCACTATTTAGACAATTGACACAGTTTTTTTATTTTTATTTATTGACCTCAAGATCTTAACGTTCCCAAACTTGTCTTTTAGCTGCTGTTTAAAAGTGCATCCTGCAATAATACTGAAGACTCCAGAGGAAAGAAAGCAAATAAGCCACAAAATTGAACATCAATTAGCAAACATTAAAATGTAGATATTACAGCCATATCTGGATCTAAGCAGCCTAATGCTGTGGTCAGTGTAATGGTATATTAAATATCAAGCATTGATGCATTTGTAATTATGAAATATTAGTAATTATTATTAATATCTAATGGGATGAAGTATGTTCTTCAGAGTTTGTCGCTTCCTAGGCAGTTGCTGTATGAAATGATAACCTCAATGTTCTATTTTTCAGTGTTTACCTGCCCCACATTCTGTCTATGTTCAAGTCACAACAACTCCAAAATTAGTGAATATACTCACAGTGACATAAATTCTAACAGCTTTAGCATGCAAGAAATCTGGCCTGCAATAATACATGTTTCTATATACAAATATCTCATGGCAATAGTTTTAAATAAATGATTGATTGCACAACATTTTTAAAGAGCATGTGTTTCAGATGCCAAAAACACTGTTTAATTTTTAGTTATGAATGCAGGTCCTAATTTAATAGACTTGAAGATTTGGATTGCTCACAATCAAAATACAGCAGAATTTGGCAGAACACCAATTTGGTGTTCATTTCAATCTCAGAATTTGAAATGAAAATTCTAATTAAATTCTTGACAATTGAAAACTTTTCAAAATCCATATCAAGTGCCCTTTAATACCAACTTTAAATTACTCCAGTGCCTCTTAAGACCAACATCAACAAGTCTGAGAGTTGTTTTTTTGTTACAGGAACACTATAGGCACATTTTGTCTTTTATTTTAGGGCTCCCCAGCAATTATAAGATCACATTGAAATCTTTTAAATTGAATCAAAATTTTGAATCGAACCAAAAGATTTTCAACCAAAATTCTTCAAATTTTGAACATCACAATGGTATCAGTTCACAGAAAATTAACATTTTCCCCTTGAACAAGTCTACTAATTACATGTAAATTCTTGACATATTCTAAAAAAAATGACATGAATAGCTATGGAGGGAGAATGACATTTCATATTGCTAGTAAACACATAGAATTAATTTAGTTTTTGCATTTTACTTTTTTAAATTTATAAATAGGGCCTTTTTTGTATTCCTTTTTTTATATAGGGCCTCTATGTGGCATAGCAGCATCACACATTTCCTGGAACTTGGCCATCATAATAGTTAATACATGCTTAGAGCGTATGCTCACATTTGTAAACAGAATGTTTATCAGATGTACGGAATAGCAAGTGGCAAATTCGTAACAAGTGGCAGAAGCAGCATATTCTACTTATAAATATTATGATTATGATGTTATTCTTGAAATGTAAATATTCAATAGAGAATACAAAGGTATCTGCAAACTTTATGTGGCTAACATTATTTAAAAAAATGATAACAAACAAGAAATGCTCAGTCTCTATTAGACCAAGAATGCATCTTTTTTTTTTTTTTTTTTTAAAGCTAACACAGATGCAGGCAGTTTAGAAGGTTAGAGAGTTGTTAGGTGATTCTTCAGTAAAGTTATTAGTTATTATTATTATTATTATTATGATATTTATATAGCGCCATCAAATTCCGCAGCGCTTTACAATGGGTGGACGAACAGACAATGCTCACAATACTTTGTTCAATACTTACTAGAGGATTGTGCCTTGTATTTGGTACACACTTCTCCCGCCACTCACATACAACTGTAATAAATGGATTCTGTTTGGAAGAGTATTAAGTAAGTGGCTATTATTGGACCAGATGCAAATATTCAGTGTTCAGTATATTTATTTATAACATATTTGACCAGAAAGGATACATTGAGATTTCTCTCATTTTCAAGTACGTCCTGGGTCCACAAAATATATGTATATACAATATTTAACGTTTGAAATATAGTGACTTGTGACGGGGAATTTAATATTTTTTTATTTTTATTTTTTATTTTGCTGTACACAGTACAGTATTGCAATGGTAATTAACCCCTTAAGGACCAAACTTCTGGAATAAAAGGGAATCATGACATGTCACACATGTCATGTGTCCTTAAGGGGTTAATATAGTAAAAGCAAACCAGCTCTAATGGATTTCTTTTGTTTTTCACAAAATCCTGTATGCATCTCTTGCATTGCATTACGCACAAACATACCCTGTAATTAAAGAGATATTCAACCTTTACAAACAGATCTGAAATTATCAGTCAGATTATTTTTTATTTGTTATATTATGCACACAAAAAACATTTTAATAGAATGCACATTGAGGAAAATGGGCAATATGACGAAGCAAACCTGAGAACTAAGTAATCTCTAAAAGAATAAAGTATTGGTAAAATTAAAGTGTGTATATATTGCTCTCTATGATACATAAAAAATATTCTTTTATTCATTACATAATTAGTTAAGTATGTCAAAAGGATGATAAATTATGCTGGATTTCTTTTAATGCGAACCTTCTGACATGTATAAAAAAAAATGATTTAAAAAGACAAATATCAATGCCAACTGTCTGTTGTAATAAAGAATGGCATGGACAATACAGGGAGTGCAGAATTATTAGGCAAGTTGTATTTTTGAGGATTAATTTTATTATTGAACAACAACCATGTTCTCAATGAACCCAAAAAACTCATTAATATCAAAGCTGAATATTTTTGGAAGTAGTTTTTAGTTTGTTTTTAGTTATAGCTATGTTAGGGGGATATCTGTGTGTGCAGGTGACTATTACTGTGCATAATTATTAGGCAACTTAACAAAAAACAAATATATACCCATTTCAATTATTTATTATTACCAGTGAAACCAATATAACATCTCAACATTCACAAATATACATTTCTGACATTCAAAAACAAAACAAAAACAAATCAGTGACCAATATAGCCACCTTTCTTTGCAAGGACACTCAAAAGCCTGCCATCCATGGATTCTGTCAGTGTTTTGACCTGTTCACCATCAACATTGCGTGCAGCAGCAACAACAGCCTCCCAGACACTGTTCAGAGAGGTGTACTGTTTTCCCTCCTTGTAAATCTCACATTTGATGATGGACCACAGGTTCTCAATGGGGTTCAGATCAGGTGAACAAGGAGGCCATGTCATTAGATTTTCTTCTTTTATACCCTTTCTTGCCAGCCACGCTGTGGAGTACTTGGACGCGTGTGATGGAGCATTGTCCTGCATGAAAATCATGTTTTTCTTGAAGGATGCAGACTTCTTCCTGTACCACTGCTTGAAGAAGGTGTCTTCCAGGAACTGGCAGTAGGACTGGGAGTTGAGCTTGACTCCATCCTCAACCCGAAAAGGCCCCACAAGCTCATCTTTGATGATACCAGCCCAAACCAGTACTCCACCTCCACCTTGCTGGCGTCTGAGTCGGACTGGAGCTCTCTGCCCTTTACCAATCCAGCCACGGGCCCATCCATCTGGCCCATCAAGACTCACTCTCATTTCATCAGTCCATAAAACCTTAGAAAAATCAGTCTTGAGATATTTCTTGGCCCAGTCTTGACGTTTCAGCTTGTGTGTCTTGTTCAGTGGTGGTCGTCTTTCAGCCTTTCTTACCTTGGCCATGTCTCTGAGTATTGCACACCTTGTGCTTTTGGGCACTCCAGTGATGTTGCAGCTCTGAAATATGGCCAAACTGGTGGCAAGTGGCATCGTGGCAGCTGCACGCTTGACTTTTCTCAGTTCATGGGCAGTTATTTTGCGCCTTGGTTTTTCCACACGCTTCTTGCGACCCTGTTGACTATTTTGAATGAAACGCTTGATTGTTCGATGATCACGCTTCAGAAGCTTTGCAATTTTAAGAGTGCTGCATCCCTCTGCAAGATATCTCACTATTTTTGACTTTTCTGAGCCTGTCAAGTCCTTCTTTTGACCCATTTTGCCAAAGGAAAGGAAGTTGCCTAATAATTATGCACACCTGATATAGGGTGTTGATGTCATTAGACCACACCCCTTCTCATTACAGAGATGCACATCACCTAATATGCTTAATTGGTAGTAGGCTTTCGAGCCTATACAGCTTGGAGTAAGACAACATGCATGAAGAGGATGATGTGGTCAAAATACTCATTTGCCTAATAATTCTGCACTCCCTGTATAGTTAAAATACCACAATAAAATTAATAAAAAATGACATACTATGTACCAAAGTGTTGGGGTATATATAACGCCCCTCAAGTCTTACTGCTTAGTAAGAGATAACTCCAAAACAGCAGAAAATTGAGAAGTAACAATACAGGGGCATGGTCAACATACACCAAAACTCTTCTAACTCCTTAAGGATAAAGGCAATTGTACTAATCAAAACAAAACCTGGAATTTGCACAATACCTCTGTTCAATCATAATTTACCTCTTTCATATTAAGTACACCTCCAAGCAGTGGCGCACTAAAGGGTGGGGGGGAGGGAAGGGTACTAATTAAAACAAAACCTGGAATTTGCGCAATACCTCTGTTCAATCATAATTTACCTCTTTCATATTAAGTACACCTCCAAGCAGTGGCGTACTAAGAGGGGGGGAGGGGGGAAAGGGTACTAATCAAAACAAAACCTGGAATTTGCGCAATACCTCTGTTCAATCATAATTTACCTCTTTCATATTAAGTACACCTCCAAGCAGTGGCGTACTAACTTGTGACATTGCAGTCCATAATGAATGCAGCGGCGAGGCTCATCTTTCAATCTTCCCGCACCTCCCACGCCTCACCCTTCTGTCAGTCCCTACATTGGCCTCCTGTAAGATGTAGGGCTCAATTTAAAATTCTG